AGGTCATTGGCTGCCTCGGAGGGATCCCCGGTCGCCCATTGGTTAGTCCCAGCGACCGCTGGCCTGGAAGCGACCGAGACCGCCCCGCTTCGCCCCGCCACTTGGTGGTTGGTCCCTGGGGGCAGGAGGTCTGGCTAGTCGGGAGGGGTCTGGCCACCTTAGGTGACCTCTCTCGCCCCTCAGGGTCAGTCCCGGTTGGCAGGGTGCTGGGGGCCTGCCCGGGGACCCCAGAGCTTCCGCAGAAGCTGCGGTGGTGCTGCTGTGGCCGGCTGTGAGCAAGGGGTGGCCACGCCGGGAGCTGTGGCTGCTGTGGGGCCCGGTGAAGGCCGTGTGTAGACTGGACTCCTGCAGACCACTGCTCTGCCTTCCTTTTCCCTCAGCCCCAAGCCGGGCCAGGACCCCAGGGTGGGGCAGGGAGAGGTGCTAACCGCAGCGGTAGAAGGGCAAGGAAGAGACCTACCTGGTCGTGTGCACAGAGGACCGCACACGCGTGAATGGGTACCTGGATTCCTGCGTGTGTGTATGTGCATTGGTTTGTTCCTATGCATAGATTACACGCGCGCGCGCGTGTGTGTGTGTGTGTGTGTGTGTGTATTTGCACACAAACATAACAATTTAGGTGTGGACACCAAGTGATTATACCAAAGCAGACATAGACATAGACATATGAGTACAACTATTGACATGTGCATTCACATACCCACAGATGCACAACACATAGGTCCAAGCACATGTGCACACTGCCCAGACCTGTGTCTCCACCTCAAGGCCGTCACTCCTTCCTCCTTGGACTTAAGTCTCTCTGTGTCTTTCCTTCCTGTTAAGCCTAACCCAGGGCAAAGCAACATTGTGCTGTGTGGGTCTTTCATGCAAAACACTTTATAGAGACAAATAACAGCAGAGGGAGAGACAAATTAAGAGGTGTAATAGGCAAGAGGGAAAATATCTGCTTTCAGCTGCAATTTAAAATGAAATGCAGCGTTGACAAGACAGAGAATACTGCAGGGAGGCCTTTCCCGACAGAAGAATTGGCCCAGGCAGACTCTCACCTCCTAAATCTTGCTTCTTCCCCGAGGCCTGCTATGGATGGGCTCTTGGGACTCAGACATTCTTGTACCTCTGGCCAGGCCATTGACAGCAGACCCTCCCCTGACGTTTAAATACCCTTGCCATGTGAATCTCTTTCAGTTGAAAATAAAAGCTGGTCTGGGTAACAGGTACAAATAATTTGGCCATGGGGTTGAACAGCTTCTTCCAAATCTACAAATTCTAAGTCAGATGTTTCAGTCTTTGCCGAGTTTGATTGACAGGACTCAGTTCCCCGGAATCATCAGAGACAAGGATGTGATCCAGTTGGAAACCTGGCCTGGCCTCTCCTGATTCCTATTGCCTATGCCTCTCCTCACTGGGTCTGACCTCCAGAAGTGGCAGGCTTGTCTCTGGAGAACCAGGGAGGAACCCAGCTCTCCTTGAAAGTACCCCACATTCCATGATGAAAGAGTAAGGGAATCACTATTCAGTCCCCTGAGAAGGTAGGACCCAGGAGAATGGGAAGAAGGCAAGGCTGAGTCACAGAAGGATATGTCTGTTTGAACGATGTTCACTGGACAGGTCTGTGGTATGCTGGTGAACCAGGGCATCAAATGGGGCTGCTGCCCGGCTGGTGTGGCTCAGTGATTGAGCATCAACTATGAACCAGGAGATAACAGTTAGATTCCCATTCAGGGCACATGCTTGGGTTGTGGGCTTATTCCCAGTAGGAGGCATGCAGGAGGCAGCCACTCAATGATTCTCTCTCATCATTGATGTTTCTATCTATCACTCCCTCTCCCTTCCTCTCTGAAACCAATACAAATATGTATTTTTTTAAAAAAAAAATTTTAAAGAAAGTGGGGCTGCAGTAAGACTGACATGCCTTCCACAGACTCAGGCTACAAAAACCAGAGCCCAGCAGGGACAACTCCATTTCCAACCAATGTCGTTTGGTGAGTACACTGATTTGGTGATACCATAACCTTTACAATCTCCCCAGCAAGCTCACTGAAATTCTGGAGGTCCCTATCTCACCCCCCACCCCACCCTCGAACCTCTAGCCCCCAGAGACCTTACCCATACCATCACTCTTTTCTCACTGGATTTTTTACTATTGATATGCTGTCCCATAGCAGACACTGAGGTCTGCACGGCAGGGACCATGGCTTGTTCATCTCTCTAACTGCCCTAGATCTTAACTACAATGTCTTGCACATGGGTACTGTGTTTGTTGAGTAATGAACGAAAGAATGGATGGATGCCCATTTCACAGGTGAGGAAACGGAGGCTCAGGATAGAGAATAATAGTGAACTAACCTTTTCTATGTACCAATTACATATTGCTTCATTTACTTTTCAAGACAATCTTATGAGGTAGATACTATTAATAGCCTCATTTTACAGATAAGAATACTAAGGCTTAGACATATTGAGAGTCAATTAACAAGTATCTCAGTTTAATTTAGAAAATCAAGTGGGATTGGGCACAGAAATGAAAGCTATTTTAAAAATCTATCCTGCCCACAAACATTTATTGAAATTAGATGCTAGGTATTACATTAGTCTTGAGAGGACACAAAGATGAGCAAGGCATGGTCCCTGTCATTGCTGATTCACTCATTCTTTTAGTGGAGAACTGTTTATTGAACACTTATTATGTGCCAGGTACAGAGGGGCTTGGCATATCAGCCCTAAATATGGCAGGCATGAAGCCTATCTTCAGGGAATGCTTGTCTGAAAGGCAACAAGGACCAATTCAGCCCATTAGAAAGGGAATTCCAGGCACTGGGCACTGGATAAGTCTTTCACTCTCATCCCATCCAACCTTCACAATGGTCCTCTCTGAAGTAGGCCTTGAGATCTCATTTTAACCAACAGGGAAACTGAGGCTCAGGGGTATGACATGACCTGTCCAAAGTCACACAGGGAATAATTTGTAAATATGAGAGAAAACCAGACTTGTCCCAGAACCTATTCTTTTTCTGTTAATAATCTATCTATATATATAAAAGCCTAAGCGACTGTTACTACCGGACAACTGGCCAGTAGCTATGACATGCACTGACCACCAGGGGGCAGACGCTCAACTCAGGAGCTGCCCCCTGGTGGTCCGTGTGATCCCATATCCAACCTCCTGCGGTCCTTCCCCGCGGCCGGCAGGCTCTGATCAGCCCCGATCGCTGGCCAGGCCGAGGGGCCCCACTCATACACAAATTCGTGCACCGGGCCTCTAGTATTGATAATAAGTATGATTAATGGGGCATTCACTGTGCCCCATTAAAAGCATGTTATAGAAGCTCACTTATTTGATCTTTACAACCACCCAGAGACAGGTACTATTATTGCCAACATTTTACAGAAGAGGAAACTAGAACACAGAGATATTATGGAACTTGTCTAACGTCACACAGTTGAGAAGTGGCAGAGAGAGGAGTCTGATGGTCAGGCTCCAGACCCCCTTCTGTCTTTCAGAGTCTATTGCTCTGCATCTTTTAATGCCACAACAGCAGGTGCTGTCAAAGGGCATGGCAGAAAGAGATCGCTAGCCTCAGGAGAAATTATCACAGGCTTGTTGGATTGTATGAGCTCATTCAGTCATTCCACAAGTATGTATAAAGGACCTGCTATGTTCCATGTAATATAGTAGGCGTTAGGGATATAATGCTGAGCAAAAATAGACACATTATTCCCATTGTGGAGCTTACAGTTTCATGGGGAAGAGGAGTTAAAATAAATAAGCAACCCTCAAATAAGTATGCAAGCTGAGAAAAGAGACAGGAAGGAGAAAGAAATACTGCTATAATCATATGTAGCAATGGATCTGGACCCTGACTCGGGTTGGGCCAGCAGTGGTCAGGGAAGACTTCCCCTAAGGATGAGCAAAGAGGGGTAGTCAGAACACTCAGACGGAGAGGGCAGCATATGCAAAGGCCCTGAGGTGGGAGGAACATGGTGCTGTTGAGAACAGACAAGCCAATAGAGAGAATGATGGAGAAAGACAGGAGATGTCACTGATGATTTCGGGCAGGAGTAGGAATGTGTGCAGGGGTAGGTGGGTGGGTGGATTCATATTAACATTTTAAAAAAGGCTACTCTAGCTACAGTGGGAAACAGAATGGAAAGCAGGCGTGAATGAAGTGGGTGCCCTTCCAAGGGTATTGCAAGTCTGTGGTGTCTTGGACGGGGGAAGTGAGGCTGGACAGGACCGCAAGATCCAAACCAGACTTAGAATCCAAAATTGATAGGACTTGGTAATGGCTTGATATTAGATGTTGATAGAGGGAGACATCTGCAGTGATTCCCAGGTCTCTAACTCGCCTGGGGGCCGTGGCATTTGTAGAGGTGGGAGCAGCGAACCAGGCAGGGCTTCCTGTCTGCCCAGGAAGGCGCTAGACAGTTGGTGCAAAATCTGAATCTCAAATGGTTATTAGTCCCATTTAGAATCAAAGACTAGAAATGAAGCCAAGGTCGAGCCAAGAGATAATCATCAGGCAGCTTCCTTAATGGCCTCCAGACAAATTCAACCCCGGGCAGGAGAGACACTGATGACAGAACCTGCTGGGTGAGAGCAAGCCAGGTCAGTCCCCAGATAAAAGGCCCCGCGGCTGTGCTAGGCTCACTCCAGTGGCTGCAGTCAATACCTCTCTGTGCACTGAGGCTGATTTCAGGATTACAGAGCCCAGAGCACCTGCCCTCAGACTCTTAAAAGACCATGAAAGTTTCCTATCAATTCTTCTTTGCCAGAGTCCCCAGCCTTGCATCAGAGGTGGCCCGGTCAACCAGGAGCCAGAGTTCTCCACCAGGAGCCATGGAGCCCCCAGGGAACATTGGGCCATGTCTCGAGATGATTTTGGTTGTCACAGTTGGGGAAGGAGTGCTACTGGCATCTAGTGGATAGCAGTCAAAGATGCTATTAAGCATCTTACAACGCACAGAACAGCCCACCCCCCCACAACAAAGAATGGTCCAGCCCCAGATGTCAACAGCGCCAAGGGTGAGAAACCCTGGCTTAAGGCCAAGGCTTCAAAGTCTGAGAGGCCTGGGTTTGCAGCCTGGCTTTGCCACATAATCCTCTACTTGACCTTGGCCAATTTATCTGACCTCTCAGAGCCTCGATTTCTTCATCTGTCAAATGGGGTCAATAGTGACACAGGCTTCATAAAGATGATGTGAGAATTAAATGAGATAACTGGCTATTAAAGTGCCTGAAGCAAATGTTACACTCATCCTCCAAGTGAGCAGGGGCTGGGTTTGACTTACTATTCTGGTTCTATCCCACCCCAAACCCAAGTCCTCAGGGTGCTGGAGGAGCATAAGCAAGGTGATAAGAATGAGGACCCCCAGCATCACCGCTTTGAGTCTTGACTCAATCTCCTACCAGCAGTGAGATCCTGGGCAAATTGCTCACCTCTTGAAGCTCCAGCCTTCCGTCTGTGACATGGGGATGATCACAGTTTCCACCACATACGGTGTTATGGGGACTAAAGGTAAATGTCTTCACGCAGAGTCTGTAGGTAGTGAGCACTGGGGGAAATGTGAACCAATCTAATCAAAGAATCAGCGTTGCCTCATTTCTTAATGGCAAGCAAGCTAGCAATCTGAACTAAAACTTTGTAACTCAGTTTCCAGGGAAGCTCCAATTTCAAACACTCTTGTCCATAGTCCCTATGAGAACTCTCATTTGTCAGGCTGCACACACTGATCTTTCATGTCTGAGGATATGGTCCCTGTCTCGGTAACAATAATGGCAGTGTTTATGAAGTCCTGGTCCTGGTGTGGTAAGCGCCGGACTCAGCACGACTCGGGTAAGCCCCTCCTCCCCAGGAGTTTCTAGATCAGTGGTTCTCAACCTTGGCTGCACATTAGAATCACCTGGGAATCTTTTTAAAACCCTGATTTCTGGGCCACATCCCCCGGAAATTCTGTTTCTTTGTTCTTGGGTGGGGCTACAATGGCAGCCGCAGGCAAGGAAGCTACCAAGGACGGGGGTGTAAGAGTGAGCACCTCCTGCCAACCCAGAACCTCTTGGGTGGGACCACAACATTAGTAACAAAGAAACAGAATTTCTGGAGGATGAGGCCCAGAAATCAGGATTTTAAAAAGATTCCCAGGTGATTCTAATGTGCAGCCAAGGTTGAGAACCACTGTTCTAGATCATGCAGCTGAATGGTAGACTGTTGCAGATGTGGAATCTCAGGATCAGAGCATATAAATCAGTAACTTGCAGTAGAGGCAGAGCAGGCTGCTGGGTCTCAGGACTTGAGAGTCCCAGCTGCGGCCACTACCTCAAGCATACTAAGGGGTCAAGGTTCTTCTCACCCCCACAGTCCTGGGCCACATTGACCTAGCTGACATGGTGAGGACTGAATGAAATAATCCATGTTAATGTTCTAGCAGAGTGCCTGCAAATAGCAGGAGCTAAATGTTAGTTATTATTATTTATGGTGCTGGTACATTTTAAAGGGCACATAAAGTTTGAATCTCATAAAAGTACATTTCTAAGAGCTTACATCAATTCCCCCTAAAGCAAGAAATAAAATTGTATCTTCAAAATGTAACCCTGGCATAATTTAGTCATCTGGTTCTACTTGCTAATAGCAAGAAGTTTTGTGTTGTTGGTGGGTCTGTTTGTTAATGTCCATGGGCTATGGAAGCTCCAACTTCTATGCAGGGTCTCAGAGCATCTGCCCTTCTGGGATTAGGCTGGTGAGAAGGGCCCAAGGCATCAGGCAGGTGTTGCTGGGTGAAGACCACATGGACCAAACAATTGTGGGAAATTCCCTCAAACCTTATTCATGATGCCATCCAAGTATTTTCTAGAACCAGATCCATAAGCCAGAGGTTCAAAGGAGCATTGTGGGCAGAGCCTTGAATCTCATAGACCTGCCTTTTGGTGGCTGTGTAACCCTAGGCAAGTCACTGCATCAGTTTAAGCCCCCGTTTCCTTGGCTATAAAAATAGCAATAATATTATTACTAAACTCAGTATATGACAAATGTTAGTATTATTAAAAGAAGCACTTTGAGACAGTCAGTCAGAGAAAGACAAGTATCACATAATCTCACTTGTATGTGAAATCTAAGTAACAAAATAAACAGATGAACAGAATGGATCCAGAGGCATGGAAGCATGGGACAGCGTGTGGAATCTTGGAGACAGCGTGTGGAATCTTGGAGGGAAGGTGCGGTGGTGGTGGGGGCGGGGGGGTGAGTGGGAGGTAATAAACCAAAGACCTTGTATGCATATATGCACAACCCATGGCCAAAAACAATAGGGTAGTGAAGGCCTGGTGCGGGGGCGGGAGGTGAAGGCAGGCTGGAGGGCATCAATGAGGGGGGAGAAAGGACATATGTAATACTTCCAACAATAAAGAATTATTAAAATAAATAAAATATAAGTTTTAATTTCAAAAAACAAAAAAGCAGCAGCCTTGCCACCATGACTCAGTGATTGAGCATTGACCTATGAGCCAGGAGGTCAAGGCATGCCTGGGCTGCAGGCTCAATCCCCAGTGGGGGGCATGCATATATATATATATAAAAAGAAGCAGAAAACCAACAAGTTTATGATTCCAGGTTGATTAATGAAAGAGAAGAAAGATTGAAGCTTGAAGAGGGAGTTTCAGTTATCCTATTGTCCCAAGTCCCAGCTCGCCATTTGATTGGGTGACATGGGTACATCACTCACCTGTCTGAGCCAGTTTCTTCATCCATAAAGGGTGCCCATAATACCCTAAATGAGATAACCAGTGGGTAGGGTAACTTTGTTGGCGTTAATGCCAAGGAGACATGTTCCTTGTGGCTATGATCCCTGTTAAAAAATAATTTTCATCATTCCACATATATTTATTGAGACTCAATCATGATTTAACAGTTTTTGTGATGCCCCCTGATATATTTCCTATTTTATTCCATTCTACTTTTTTCTAATATCCTATTATATGTATTTTTTTTAAAAGCTGATAGAAACTGAACTAGTCATTGGTACTGTTTGCCAAATGTTTCTGGAACTCTGCCTTTGGGGCACATGACAGGGTGGCCCCACCCCCTCGTGGTTGAGTAGAGAGCCAAGTGACTCGTTCTGGCCAATGAGCTGCTAGCAGAAATGACATCATTTCTAGTCCAGAGCATCTAGTTGCCAGTGCCACATCCTCCAGCGCTCCAGCTTCCTCTCTAGCAAGGTGGCTGCCAGGGATTGAGATGGCAGCCGCGCCAGCGCCAGGGCCCCTGTGTGACTGTGACGAGCAGAATCCTCGGCACTTCGGCAGTGGCTTGGAGGAGCTTACATGAGAAATTAATACACGTTGTGTCAAGCCACTGAGACCACGGGGCTTTAAAAACGTTTTCAACTTAAAAGCCAGTTATAAGATAGGTTACTTTTTTTTTTTTGGCATACTCAATCTTCATGGTCTAGGGTGCACTTTACATTTACAGCGCTTCCTAATTCAGACCAGCCTCGTCCCAAGTGCGCCGGAAGCCCCTGTGTGGCTAGTGGCTATGGAACTGGACAGCGAGGCTGTCATGGAAATGACCCTCGTTTTGAAACACATTGTCCTGAGGCATCCTGAATAAATAGATCTTTATCTTTGGCCCACGGATCTTTAGAAAAGGAAATCCCGTGTTCCCTAAAACAGGCTGTGGCTAGACTTCAGATCCATTTCTCCTCATTTAGTCTGCAGTGGGGGTTCCTTCCTGCATTACAACTAGCTGCCGTTTCCCTCCGCCTAGCCAATTCGCTCACCTCCACTCTCTCAAATTAAAAAAAAGGGGGTGGAGGGAGGGCTTTTTAAGAGGCCTAGGCTGAAAATAAAGAAAAAAGTATGAATATTTAAAATGTTCTCAGTACCCACAGTATTCCAGCATAGAGGGCTCAGGTTTGGGAGGTAGATTCCAATAATAAGTCTAACCCAGTGCCTGCTCACTGGGAGGATGAGTGTAACATTTCATTCAGGCTCTTTATAGCCAGTTATCTCATTTAATTCTCACATCATCTCTATGAGGAGTGTATTTACTATTGACCCCATTTGACAGGTGAAGAAATCGAGGCTCTGAGAGATCAGACAAGTTGGCCAAGATCAAGCAGCCAATGTGTGGCAAAGCCTGCAAACCCAGGCCTCTCTGACTTCAAAGCCTTGGCCTTAAGCCAGGGTTTCTCACCCTTGGCGCTATTGACATTTGGGGCTGGACAATGCTTTGTTGTGTGTGTGTAGGGGGGTGGGAGGGGGCAGCCATTCTGTGCATTGTAAGATCTTTAATAGCATCTTTGACTACTACCCACTAGATGCCAGTAGCAGGTTGACTGGGGGGAGGGGGAAGGGGGAGACATCCTACACTTTCTTCAAAGGGTCTGAACTGCAGGCTTCCGTGTCCTGAGGGATGGAGGATGGGTGGGAGGAGGGTGAGACTAAGGCATTAATTAGAACTTGATCTCATACCCTGGGGAGGACAGAATTCCTTTTGACTTGGGATGTTGACTTGGGACCTATACAACAGGATTACGGGTTGCAGGTAAATATTAATTATTTTCTTATCAATTTGTGATTATGTATGTGTGTTATTGTTAAAATGGGATTACACTGCACCTACTCCTGAGGAAATGTGTATCTTTAATTTACCAATATGTCAGGAGCTTTTCCCCATGAAACTAAATATTCTTCTACTTCATCATTCTGACAGCCCAAAGTATTTTTAAAATGGATATACCATACTGTATTCACCCAGCCCAGTATTGCTGGACGGTAAGGTCATTTCTGATTGTCATTGCATTTGACAGTAGTTTATTGCTCTCAATGTGCCTTTGGTTCCACAGAAAGCAGGTCAGAGGACATATTCAGAGAGAAAGGCGCGATCACCCCGAGGCGTCCTCCTGGCCTTGTGGGGTTTGACCACATGGACACCAGCTTCTGTGGAGGAGAGGAGGGCACAGCTTCTCTGAGCTTCGTGGGGAGAGCTGTGTGAGGGGGAACGTGTGAAAGACGGAGGGCCCGGGCGGTGCCAGGCCTGCCACTGATTAGCTCAATGGACATCCTCCCTAAGCTCAGTTTGTGTGAGGGGGAACGTGGCCGGATCCAGCCCGCGGGCCGTTGTTTGCCCACGGCTGGACTAGCTCAATGGACATCCTCCCTAAGCTCAGTTTGCTCATTTGGGAAATGAGAATAATAATGCTGGCCCCTTGGTATTGCTGTGAAGATTAAACGAGGCTGCCTATAAATCCTGGCTAAAGAAGACAGAGAGCGCACACACCAAGCTCTGCTCTCTCCTGGTGCTCCACCAACGTGAGGCGAAAGAGGTTTTTCTAAGGGCATAAAGCCACAAGGGCAATTAGCACAGGAGCAAGTAACTAACAAGATTGGAAAGGCAGAGATGCAAATCAATGGGTTGTAACTTAGGGGAACCGAGAATCCAGAAGTTTAGTTGAACCCTAAATCACCAATGGGGAAA